ATTGTTTGAGGGTTTTTTCTCCCTGCTTTGACATTAATAGAGCATTTAGATTCTCATGAACGTGCCTCTCACCCTTGCTGAGCCCTCCCCAGCACCAGCAGCCACCAGGGAAGTGGTATTTCTCTTCAGTCTGCAATATCCACATGGATATTTGATCGTGTGGGTTAAAGTGTGGCCCCAGAAGCACACTGTTTGTGGGAGAAGCCTTGGGGTAAGGGCTGGCCTGATGCTGTGTGGTGCAACAACCCAGTCCCACAGACCCATACTGGCTCTCCACCACCCAAACTTGCGGTAGGAGGGGTACTAGCATGTCCCTCATGTGAGACCATTGAGACTGCCTGGTCCTCTCCTGCTCATGGCAAGCTGGGAGACCACAGTAGCTGTTCTCATAGCGTTTGACCGTGATCCTTCCTTTACCAGCAGTGTGTATTTAACTGCTCTGTTCCTTCAGCAGCTGCTAAGAGGTGCTTCTGCTGCACCCTCCAGGAGAGGCAACAGCTCCAGGTTTCTGAAGGTCTCCACCAGGTCATAGAGGAGCAAAGGGTCTTCCCATGCAAAGTGATCTGGAGCAAGAGAAATCCCTTCCTGCTATGTGATGCAGCCCTATAATCCTCCCCAGGGTATGGCTGAAAGGAATCCCAGATATGGACAGAACTCGAGGCAGTGGATGAGGAAAGAATGCACCCTGTGTCCATAGGATAGATTTGCAGAAAGAGGCTGGTTGTGACCTTGTTTGCATGCACAGCTTGTGTCTGGGAACAGCAAGCATAGGGTCTGCTTAGACAGGGGATGTCCTACAGCAAATGAGCTAGGTAGAACCCTGCCAGTGCCCCCGAGCTTGCAGAGATCAAGATGCAGGTGAGCTGTGCTGGCCACAGCACTTGCCTGTAAAACCTAGGGAATACAAAGCCAGGTTTGCTCATGTTGAGTTTAGTGTACAGAGGAGAACTGGGAAGCTCCATCTTGAGTGTGTCAGTCCTGCTGGATGATGTTCAAGAAGTTCTTGAGATGTTATATGGGGGTAACTCCATCAGCCCTTTGGAATGGGTGGCACCAAGGGATCACATCTCCCCTCTCCCTTGCATGTCACCCCACAGAAATGTCACAACACTGACGTGGCACTTGCAGTGACCATGCTCTGCCTCTACTGCTGAACCAGCCCTCACCTCCCCAGGGCTTTGCCCATTTGTGTTGTCAGAGGAGACAATGGGCAAACTTCAAGTGCCAAAATGTCCCTCTGATATTTTCAGGAGGAATGCCACTGCAGGCTTGGGCTGCAGTGTTTGTCCCAGGTGGTGCAAGCTACAGAACAGGAGCGCAGACCAAACAGGTCACTTTTATCACTCTCAAAGACTTGTAATTCCTACCTAGGAGACTCTCATCAAGTCAGGGAGGCTTCAGACCTTGCCAGAAGACTAAGAATATTGTAGTATTAAGGTTCACAGCGAAATGAAGCGCCCATGCTGTGCACAAGTATGGATGAGACTACCAGTGGCCACATACAGATCTATTCCTATACCTGGCTAATTATAAAAACGGAGCCCTTAGGCACTATCACAGCAAGCAGAGAACACCAGTGACTGGTACTAGGTTAGTTCTGGTATACTCTTACAGGAAGCTTCCTCCATCAGCAGCCTCGTGTTAGCTGGGAAGGAAATGTCCCAATTTGAGCCGCTGACAGATTCATAAAAAAAAGAACATTATCTTCTCTGTGATGTCTGCTGGCAGGAGATGTTAAACCACTTATTTATAACCATCTTCTCAAAATGCTTCCCTGCTTGGGAGCCAAACTACAAATCCTGTTTGGTTTGTTGTCTTTAACCAAAGGATGCTGGTACTTCTGCTTCCAGCTGGCAAAAAGATCCGGAGTCAGTGCCAGGCTTTGGTGGGAATAGACTTGGCTTTCAAGGCGTGTTAACGCAGATCCAGGAAGGCAGCCTTTTATCAGGCAGAGAGCAAAGTTTTTGGAGTCAGGAAGAGCAAAGATGAGCCAGCAGACGGGTGTCAGCAGCAAGCCAGATTGATGGGATGTGTCCTGGGGAGGGACAACAACCTTGGTATCACAGGGAGGGAAAGACTGGGGAAGATAGAGGCAGGAGATGCACCATGACAGATCGGATCACCCACAAGAGGGAGGAAGCTCAGATGCTGTCCTGATGCTGTGCCCAGCACCACAGAGAGATCCAGCCCCAGCACCTTGAGCATCACCCTGCAGCACAAAGGCAGCGGCTGCTGAGGAGCAATGGTAAGACTTGACTTCATGAAGAGCTCTGAGAAGCTGGCACCAAGAGACCAGGAACATGTAGCGGGTGATGCATGGTAGGATGTGGCCTTTGGGGTGAAGGGGACTTTGGGGAATGCCCAGGCTAACCGGAAACCACCTGTGCGCCAGGGCCAGCTCAAGTCAGCCAAGTCACTGATCCTCTATTTGAACTTGCCTTTGATGTAATTCTGTTTGTAAATGCAATATACTCTTTGTTACCGTTTTATTGTGTTTGGTTTGCTTTTTAAGTGTCTCTATTCCATTCACTTAGGCCTGAGTGTTATAGAGACATGAATGTTTTATGAGATATGCTTCATCTACCTTATTTAAGAAAATGACACCCGAGTAGTTTCCAAAACAGGCTCGTGGTCGGTCAGTGTGGCACTTCCCAATGGAAAGCCCAAGGAGCAGAAGGGCAATACAATGGCACTCACTACAGGGGTCTCGGTGGCGAGGGGTCTGGGGACACAGTGGGCTCTGCTGGGGAGGCCAGACTGTCAGAACACAGTGACTGCAGCAGCAGCAGGCCAGTGCCATGGGGTGCGAAAGCAGCAAGGATGTCCCCCTTGCCCAGCAGAAGGGCTGGGGATGGTGACCTCTCCCTCTGCTCCTCCAATCTGATGCTGGGTGCAAAGGGGAGAGCTCCCAAGCTTTCCTCTCCTTGCCACCCAGCAGGGAGCCCTCAGGGATGAAAGGCACTGTTGGAATGTTTTGGGGTGTTGATGTTATGGGGGAGGATGGGGAGAGAACCAATTTCTTTAGCATCAGCTTGAGGGGCATGCTTAATGCTGCCTGCTGGTGTGGATGTGCTTATGGACTGAATGCACTGGGGGCTGAGACAAATGTCTCTGAGCTCTGCTCCTACTGCAGCTGTAGGCAGGGGGAGTGACTGTACTGCTGTTGAGCCAGCAAGTTTTGTAAGGGACAGGCAGGACATGCACCAATGCCACCCATATTGCAGGATAAAGTTCCCTGGCCTTCCCTGCTCTGTCCTGTTGTCCCCATGGATATTCCAGGTGGGGCAAATCCTATGCCTTGTGCTCAACCCTGCTCCTGCATGGGCAGGGGGTAACTAAGCTTGGCACAGCAGCTCAAAGCAATAATGAAGACGTCACCTTTAGGGTCATGAAGACATCACTTTGGCCTGGCTGCGTGCACCCAAAACATGCTGGGGTAGCTCAGCCAGAGTGTAAGAGGGAGGTTCAGATAAAAGGGGATGCATCCCATCCTGGAAGCAGTGCTGCGGGCAGGATCAGTGCTCACCATGGGCTGGGAAAGAGAACTTACCAGGCACAGGATGTCCTTCCTTGTAGCAGGACAGTGTGTCCATGGATCCAGGCACCAGGAAGGGAAGACAAATGGCTTGGATACCACCATCTTGTGCTGCAGCTGAGAAGGGGACAACCATTGTTTTGGGTCCTTGACTATGGTGGCCAGGAAAGGAGAAAAAGCCTCTCTCCAAGGCACTGGAGGGCTTTCCTTGGAACAGTTAAGAATTGGTTGTTACCTCAATGGCTTTGTGGGCTGGCACCTTTGTGGGCTCACATGGCTCTCTGGGACAGCAGTACCACCCTGCTGTTTCAAAAAGCCCCTTCTGCTGTTCTCCCTTGGTGCTGAGGATGCTCAGCAAGGCTCAACAGGGGCAGGGAGGTGCTTGGGGACTGGCCATCCCCTGGCTCACCCCCATAGCTGTCAGAGTGGCCGCTGGCATGTCCCACAGGAACCAGCATCACTGCTGCTCTAATGCACTGGGGCAGGGATGCACCACGAGCTGGACCTGCCCAGGCTGTGCTCCTCCTTGTCAGTGTGCCTTACTTGAGAGGTAGGGGCTTCTCTGACTACATGGGCCAGTGAGCAGTGAGATATTACTGGGGGCTGCTGAGTAGCCAAACGAAGATGAATGGGGAGCTGGAAGAAGGTGCTGTGAGAGAGATGAGATGTCAGGAAGGGTAGGTAAGTGGATGAGGCCAAGAGAAAGTGATCTGAACTTGTTTGAACATGAACTCTATGGCTTCCAGTCCTGATGCTGAATGCATGTACCCTTACAGCCACTATCTCCTCCAAGGTTCCTGTCTTGACTTTCTGACTGACCCTGAGAAAAACTATTTCTCTGGTGGGAACCATCCCACTCTGTAACACAAATTGCCCCAAGAGTGCAGGGTGGCAGACAGACCTTTCTCACCTGCTTTTGTCTGGGGAGAGACATGGAGAAAACCAGCAGCTGGGTTGGGTGAACACAGAGGAAGAAGCCCTGTAGATACCTACAAGATGCGGCCACCCTGTTCCACCCCTGCAGTGGTTCCACAGACCACAGCAGTGGTGGGCTCACCATCAGCGTTGGGCTACAAGCTGGCCCCTGCTGCACTGCTCACCTTCATCCACAGCCCAGGGAATACCACTGAGCACAAAGCACCAGGCACTGAAGATTTGACTGATGCTGGAGGCCTCCACATCCCTGAGCCCAGGCCATCTGTCATGCTAGGGCAGTCCATTGCAGAAAAGAAAGAAGGGAGTGGACCATGGCAGCAGCCGCCAGCGGAGTGGAGTGTGGAACGGCAGTGGCATGCAGACTGTGGGAATGGCAGGGGATGGAGACAGGGAGAGGAAAGCACAGGGTGACTCGGGCAGATGGGGAATATCAGACTCACGATGTTAGAGGCACAACTTGTTATGATCCTTTTTTTTTTCCTTTCATCATTAGAGACAAAGTAAAAGGAAATTAAAGCATAAGAGGGGGTGAAATTAAAATCACAGTTTTGTTTACATTATAAAAGAACAATCTAATAGGAAGAATAATAATAATATCAAATAAACAATAATAATTAAGCAAAACAGGAAAGAAGAAAGCCCTGGAGAATTCCTGCCTGGATGGTGCTCACTGATGGAAGGTTTGTGTGACCGGTTTTATTGTTTGGGGATCATTCCCTTGATAGCTGACTCCCGGTTTACGTACGTGGCCCAGTAGACTAAGTTGAAGATGGCAAAGAGGACTGGAAAGACGATGCGGGACATCTTGTCTACCTTGCTGACGCTGTTGTATGTCTTCTTACTCTCTGGGAGCTTCTCCTCTGTGCGGGGCATCTTGGGGGGTATGTTGGTGGCAGTAGCAGTGGCACCAGCACTCTTGGAGATGGTGGGCAGGCCAGGGTCCTTGGCAATGTTGAGGGCATATGTGGTGCCAACAATGTTGTAGGTGTTGTTGGTTTTCTTCGCTAGTGCCACTGGCTCTTTTTTCTAGGGTAGGTGGAAGAAAAAACATAATAGAGATGAAGTAACTGTAGAACTGCATGGAGAACATTTTGTCCTCTGAATTTACCTGCTTGTCCAGATGAGGAGATGAAAAAGGGTGCGAGGAGCAAGAGACGAAGAAGGTGGCATTGTGGAGGGGAGGGAAGATGTGGTGAGAAGATGGCCAGAACCCATGACATCTGCCACTTGAGGGCTGCTGCAGCATACAGATGTGCTGGACTACGGTGGACCAGCTACTCCATGTAAGCCCAGCATACATCAAAGAGGTCCTGGCCTGGCAGCTATGTTCTGCTGCAAGCCAAATAACTGAAGCCACATAACTGGGTTTGTTGCTTTCTTGCAGTGCTATAAAAAGGTGTGTACAGCTGCATTTGAGTAGTAGCTGCCCCAGACAGGTCACTCCTTGACTGGCAGAGTGCTACCAGGTCCATTTTGTGTATTGCCAGGTCAGTGCAAGTGAATGCAGGCTCGAACTATACAGACTCTTTGTTTTCTCTCTCAGTTGGGCAATGTTTTCTGCTGCATGCAAGGTTCAGCCATGGAGAGACAATGCAGGAATGTAGTCTTTAGCAAAGAACAGCACCCTGTCTGGCCATCCTGAGGGAAGAGCTTGATTTTCTGCTTTGCTGGCCTGCTTCCTGGGCCAGGTGAGAGGAGGAGACATCACAGAAGATCATAGTTCTTGGGGGTTTTGTTGCAGAAATCCAGTGGCTTTAAGAATTTGGGCAACAACATTGGAATATTTTGCACCATATTACAAGGCCATATAATACACTGCCTCAGTGCCCCTGAATGCCACACAGGAATACTTCATAATTCAATATCATGATGTCCAAAATGCCTCTGGGACTCTTTAGAGCACCTCATGACCTACCCAAGTAAGATACAGAACAGATGGAAGGCATTTTCACTAGCCCTGGATTTCAGGATTGCTCAACACAGTACTGTCGGGCAGAGGGAAGCCTTTCATCTTGTCTTTGTATCTAGGGGTTGCTGCAAATCAAAGGAGATTAGTGCACACCTCCCACAGGGCTCCAGGGACAGCCATGCTGTCCATGCTGAAGGGAGGAAAGCATGCATAGCGAATGTCACGTGTCAGACATGATGTACCGAAGGATGATGGAAGATGCTGGACAGCTCAGATGTTAACGAAGATAAGTAGTCCGGAAGTTGAAGCTAGGCAATCACGATAGGTGATTTCATATCATATCATATAAAGCAATCCAGGTCCATCGGGAGAAGCTCACTGAATGAAATCTGTTAATAAGCAGCCACCAGGCACCCTACTCATCCTAGCACTTAGGTATTCCATAATTGTGGAATCAGGTGTCCACTGTAATTATACCAAGAGCCACTGTGAGACACAGTAATGACTCACGGTGGGAATCAAATATCTAAGCTCAGAACAAGGTGTGACTTTGGATCTCATTTTTTATTCAAAAGCAACTGAGACGCAAGGTAAGACTCATGCAGGCACTTCCCAGGGGTACTTGGCATGGTCTTGCATGTACATGTGAGGGAATCGTATACAAAGTGATCAGCAGGAGAATGGAAGAGCGTGCAGCCAGCAGGACCTGTCCATCTCCCCACCCAAGTCTGCATTAGGTAGCAGGCAGCACCACTGGGTAGCTACTGGTACAGATCTGCCCAGCCTGCTCTGCAGAGATACTCCAAGGGCTTTAGCTTTCATTTGGTACTTCCATTTTTTAGGTGCCCACAATCACCATGGATATTTCTAGTTACCTTAGGAAATGAATTTTCTACAGTGATTTTCAGAGGGACGCTAAAACCAGACTTCTGTGCAATCTTTAAACCCTTCTCCAATAATATAACCAGGCCTGCAGCCTTGTAATAATGCCAGCAATTACAGAAATTAACTTGCTGTTAGAAGGAGGTCTAAATATCTTCAGACTGCAGACCAGACTGAGCCACTGATCAGACCATATTCACGGTCTTTTATGGGAGAGGGTGTTATGATCTTTGATGATTAACTGAGTGACTGATTTCTGCAATCATTAGAGACATGTTAACTTGTACCCCCTGCACAGCAGGTGAACTTTTCCTGCTAAAGAGCTGACAAGAAGCAAATAAAGGGCTAAAGAGGTTTCACCTTATGAAATATTTAAATATGCCTAAGTATGATTACTTATTAACACAGCTACGGGAGGTAATAAAGCAATTGATAATCAGTAATGAAATGAAAAAGATTGTTGTTCTAGAATGCAATCTGAAGTGCTCTGTGATTATTTTAGTATTAATCAGCTACGTTACTTGTTACAGGAATACGATTCCTACAAGTGACATGGCATTTTCAACCTGGCTAGCTTTTCTGCCCCAGAGCGTGGAAAGTGGATCTGTCTTGCCTGATCAAAGGCATTAGGAAACAGCAGGCTGAAACAGAGTAAATTCAGATGAATATGAATGCTGTGGGTGGTGATAGCAAGCTGCTACTCCTATTAGTGTGATCCAGAGCCCTCAAGCATCAACCTGGGCTTCTCTGGACCTCAGATCAGGCTGTTCAGGTAGTGCCCTACAGCCAGGGCCTTTTCTCCACCTGCTTATGGAGTCTTCTGCCCTAGTCAGAGCTGGGAGCCTGGGAAGACTTTGGGGAACAACCAGAGCACTCACTCCTACACCAAGGCACGTGTGTGTGCTCTGGATGTGCTCTGCCCCTGACATGTCAGGGGAAATGGGTTCAGCCTGAAGTTTACTGTGCTTTACAAATAAGTGTTTCAGGCAAGATTCTGACAATCAAACAGAGCAAAACGTGTTTATTGCTATCAGTTGTGAGGTAGCCCCCAGCCTTCCCCCTGCACCTTCATCTTTGAGGAACATCACGTCTTATTGAAGCAGAAGGGAAGAGTGGAGGAACAGGAGGAAACCCCACACTTGCTTTGAAGACTCCTCCTATTTAAAACATCGAAGTTGCAAAGCAATGCCTGTGTTTATTGCCCAGTTTGGGCACAGGGAAATTGAATTGCTGCACAAAGCTGTCCCTGCACTGCTCTCCTGAGGGAAAAGCTGGTCTAGAGATCAATATGTTCCCTGGATCTTGCAGTCTGACAAGTTCTCCCACAGCACACATACTGGAAACGAATGACATTTTTGTTAAATATTCTTGTCTTCAAGCCTCTCTATTGAGGAGCTAATAACTGAACCTCTACATTAGGGGAACTACAGGTTCTGCCTATGATCTGCTGGAGAATTATCTCTCTGCACTGCTCCTTGACAAGAAATTTGGGATGGAAGCACTGTTCCTCTGACAGGCCACTCTGAAGGTCACCATCACTAATATGTGCAGTACTTGAGAAATGCAAGGTATCTACAACTTACCATTCTAGAGAAAAGTCTCTTTAATGACCTCCAAACAGCTCTAGTTTCTGACATACTTGAATCCTATAATTCAAAGCCCAGCAACTGCAGTTGCTGTTCCAGCAAGCATGTCACTCCTTCCTCATGCCAGCCAAAGTTCCCCTCTGCAGTGTGCCAGAGACTTGATCCTATCAGAGCACAGCAGCAAAGTGTTTTACACTGTGATGCCTGTACCCTGAGCAGAGCCAAAGGATCCAAACAATGCAGTCTTGCATTAACAAACAGGCTCTGTCAATGCCAGGTTGCTGTCAGCTGCTGGTGTAACCTTTGGCATCACTCATCCCTCCCATCCCTCTTTTCAGGTTATGTGGGACTGAGCCCAATGATCTTATGCTCCCTGGATCACCATACGAAGACTCAGAGGTTGGATGGAATCAGTAATCAGCCCAACATGTCACACAGATAGCATTGAGAGGAAGGAGGTGAAATGTTGATACATGGACTCTAGAGAAGATGCTGAGAACATGAATCACAGTGCTATGGAGGGCTACAGGTGCTTGCAGTTGGAGGAGGAGAAAGAATATATGGGCTGCAGAGCATGGTCAGCAAGGGAAAGTGACAGCCAAAGCATATTTACTATAGTGAGGCAGAAAAAAAGAGATGAGCCTGAACAACAACATGAGTCTGTAAGACTTCAAACTGGTTGAAAATGGTGGCCTGTCAAGGTTGGTTCTAGTTCCTCTCTGTTGTCAAAGGGGATTGAATCAAGGATGCCACAGTAGGAAAGAAACAGAGAAGGAAGAAGAATTATCCTCTGGATCAAGGGCAAACTTTGTAATTGCTGAAGGGTGGGTTGGACAAAAAGTTAGGCTTTAGTCAGTGGAAAAGGCACCTAGTGCAAATGGTGAACATGTCTGTCACTTCCAAAATACAAGGAAGAATGTCACGATGATAATATCTACAGAAGCATTTGAAGGATGCTTTGTGGTGACTTTCTCTTAGCGAAAAGACATATGAAAAGTACATGAATAGCCTGGACCTAACCTTCTTGCCACACACTACAGGATTATTGTCTTAAGGATGACAAGGATAAAGACCCAGGACTATTCCTCCACCTAATGTTTTCATGTGTCTGACTGCAGCTACTTGATTGCTTTTGTTGCTTCTTGCCACCCAGGATTTAGGACAATGTCATACAAACACAGATACAGAGCTAAAGCAGATTTTATGCATAGACATGGCATTGCAGGAGGATTTAAGTAAGCATCTTCCAAAGATCCAAAGCATCTTCCATCCTGAGGAACAGACATTTTTCTTTGCAGGGAATTCCCTGGTAAATGTCATCCTTGCAGACTTCATGAGTTTCCCAGTGTCGAAGTCACAATGCTAATAGTTGGCTCTCTGGATTCTCACTCTCACAGCCACTCAGAAAGTGACCCTGTTGGCACCCTATGGTTGGGATGGGTGGGATGGATCTCACTTTGTTCAGACCCAGCCCTTCTGTCCTGATGTGGATCTTTTTAACAGGATATTTTGAGGATATTAGAGATAGGGAGCTTTGCTGGCTACTGAAGCGCCTCTCAAAGCCTTTGGCCTCTCACTCTTCCCCAGCTACTGCCATCTCCCACCTTCCTCCTGATGATGTTTTTAAAAATACCATCTTTACTAACAGGTTTTCCACATAGGATCCAGAAACCTCTCCCCCAGTTTGATCTGCACCTCCAGGCTGGTTGCAGCATTCTGCTGCACAAAGAGAGAGGAAATCCTTCATCCACAATTAGTGATTGCTCATGGCTGACAGGAAAGGCTTGGAAAATCTTTGGGTCAAAGAAACATCAGTAAAATCTCATCAGAGTGCGAGCTAGTGGGGGTTTTTTGTGACATCTATGGTGACATCTGCCTGCCTTTCAGTAGCCCCCAGAACCAGAACCCAGCTGTAGCTATAACCAGAACATCATCATGATCATTTATGATGCAGAGATCAGTGACTGATCAAGTTCAGCCCATCGTGTTAGATTCTACCTGAAAAAATGCTCCGTTCCACCTAAATCAGTGGGTTGGCTGAAGGGGAGAAGGAAAGATTGGAACCAACCTGAGAGAGTGAACACACTAGGGGCACCTGTAGAAACCAGCAGCTTTTGCAAGATAGTGATTTCTCTCTGAAGGGATGGGAAGCATTGCTGGTGCCTACATTTGAGGTGAGGGAAGGGCTGATGCTTATCGATTTACTTTTTTTCCATGTTCATGTAAGGAAACAATCAAACCTGGAGTGAGGATCCTTGCCATCACACCAATGAAGAACATTCTTTTTGGCTGTAAGGAAGGCTTTCCAGAGACCAGGGCTCATCCTGGGCTTGTCACTGGTAGTTTTACTTCTTGTACAAACACTTTAAAATGCCAATAGCTTTTCTTCTGCCTCCTCTTTCTTTTGTGGTTTCAACCACCTGGCTTGTCAATCGCTTCAAGAAGAGCTAATTAAAGGCTGAAACTGAGCCAATAGGCATCTTCATTGCATAGCAATTTCATTGCTTGGAAATATTCAATTGAATAAAGATGAAAAGCAAATATGGTGACACATCATATTCCCAAGCTCCCTGAAATCCCACCACTCTTCAAGGAGCTCTCTGAGCTGCAGAGACTGGAAGTGGGTTAGCCTTCTAAGGTAAAGATCAGGGTCAGCTTGAAAAAGCATCCATGAATTCGGAGTCCTTCCTGATCCTCCAGCCTGACACCAATTGCAGCAAACTTACAGAAACATTTCTGGTCCTGCTTTGTTTTCTTGTTTGATTACCATGTGAGCAAACATTCTGCATGCTCTTATCCTATTGCTTCAGCGCTATTAGCCTTGCAGTGCTGGGTCATTGAATAAATTAAGGAGCACACTGCTTCTGTGACAAAACTGAAGCTTTTGAGCCTTTGCTGCTTTTCCAGCTGTGCCCAGTTCACATAATTGCCCAAAGCTGTGTGAATCCTGACTTTTTGCTGATTTGCCAATCCCTGAAAGTAACATGGTTGCTTTGAAGACCTGTTCTGATCCTTCACTCATGCCAGTGACCTGGCTTTTCTCATCTCTAGAGGCCAGATTAGCATTATTGTTCCCAATGGAAGTGGAAGACCATCAACTGGCCTCCTATGGAGCCTTTTGCCATGAGTCTGTTTCTCAAACAACGGCTGCAAAAGCAAACAGGTAGAGAGAGTCCAGGAAACACAAGAGAGACTTTCAGCACCCTGTGATGGCTGTGGTTCTCCATAAGGCCTCTGTTCTCCTGCTTTGACCTCCATACCAGAGATATGACTAGTTGGTTGTCGTCTTCTCAAAAGTTACTGCAATTCTGCCAGGTATTTGCATACAGCCCCACCACAATTTTTAACAACACATTAAAATGCAAAGGAGAAAAATATAAAGGCTCCAGAACCAGGAACAAGGGCAAAGCTGCTTTTCAAATTGATTCAATAAATATAAACAAGGAACAGCATGCTACAGTAAGCGATTTCTCTGTGCAGCCAGGACTAAATCAGTTAGCAAGGAGGGTGCATGAGCAGGGATAGCAGTGGCTGTCAGGAAGGAAGCTGCCAAAAAGGCTGATCCCAAGTGAGAAGGGAAAACGTGGGTGATGCCAGGCACTAATTTACTGCCAGTTGCTGTTTCTGATTGCTTGCTTCCCACCCACCCTCTTTGCCCGAGCTTACAAAGCAGCAGATGTGGGCAACAGCACAAGCATTGGACCTCCCCATCACCGCACCATGCTTGCCCATGTTGGAAGAGACCTACAGTCAGGGTTACCAGCTACAGGGGACACAGCAGAGTGGAAACATCTCCATTGGTGAGGAGTGGCATATTTAGGTTTGTGTGGCAGGCTAGCAACATGGAGCGGGGCATTTATGGGTTGAAGGGAGAAGACCACCAGCAGAGCAAGACCAATGCATGCACACGTTCATGTTTCCACCAACAAATAGTCATGCAGAAGGACAAAGGGGAAAGTGGGCAGTCATGCCTCGATGTTTTCCTCCAGCTAAGCACAGCAAACAGTCCTCCAAGCCCCTCCTCCCTCAAGAACCGCTCCAGTTGAGACCTGAGCTGGGGACCCCAGTAAGTAGCATCCAGCCTCCGGAATAGCTTTGGTGCTGCATGTTACCCACTCCTGGCCCCGGCGCAGTTCTCTCATGCAGCGTTTCTTCACCGCCCCCTTCTCCCCTTGGCCACAGGGCTGACCTTCATCTCTTGGGCCTCCAGCACCTTCTTGCCATCCCAAGCCCAGCTGCGCTTGGTGAAGTAGTTGACGGTGGCAAATTCGATCAGCGCAGAAAACACAAAGGCATAACAGACGGCTATGAACCAGTCCATGGCCGTCGCATACGCCACTTTAGGTAACGAGTTTCTTGCGCTGATGCTTAGTGTGGTCATGGTGAGGACTGTGGTGACACCTGTGGAAACGCAGCAGGAGACAAAGACGGTGTGAGACCATGCACTTGTACCCACCCGGTTTCTTCTCAAACCGCACAGCTAGCATTTCCATCATGTACATTCAGGAGCTAAACCCCAAGCCGTGTGCCCCATATTCTCCTTGTAATTTAGGGAGCCTTACCCAGCGCAAGTCTGTGGTGCAATTCATAGAATAATATACAGTACAATAACAGCTAGATGGTTGGGAACTTCATGGATGACCAGAAACCGGCCACACATCCAATGTGGTCCTCTCAACATTATGGAAAGAGTGTCTCTTGACCTGCATGGATGAACACCTGGATCAGGGGTCCTGCCAGCACAGCCAGGACCCCATTAGTAGCCCAAGCTGCCAGAATCAGTGTCACAATGATTTATCTTTAAAAGATGATCTGTTGCAAAATGCCTTTTAAAGCTTTTTTCATTAAAGCCAGCAACCATTGCTATCCATTTTCCCCAATAATGTGCTTTTCAATTAAAAATGCATTAAAAACATTATAAAAATATTGACTAATTTTCACTTCCCTTAAGCCATACTCCTGGTAATTGAAGAGTTTCAATAACATTGTTGACAATACTTTCCGAGAGGCAAAAACCCAGGAATAAACAATTGGAGTTCTCATTATTCTCTTAATAGGAAAGCAAGGCAATTTGGGAGCAAAGACATTTTTCACAAAGGTAGGTTTTAATTTTTCAGCCATTGCTCAATCTGAGCTGCTGCTTGAGGAAACCTGTCTAATTGCAAACCTCAGACAAACATAGGAGGGAATCAAGTACCCCCAGAGAAGGGCTCTCCCCCAGTGTTGGGAGTGCAGGATACTCCAGAATCAATGCAGATGTAAGAGCCCACTGGGGGCATGGACAGACATGGGCTCTGGTGTGCAGTCTGTGGGGTTTAGTTGCAAGTGATTCACAGATAGATGAGTGAGGAAAGTTCATCAATGACTCTGTGTGTGTCTGAGCTGGTCCTATTTTCCATGTGATTTTTCTCTGACTTTCCCTCTTTTCCATTCTGTTGGATTAAAACCACCAAAAAGTAGGTGCTAAGGGGTTGTACCTCTCTTCTTCACTGTTATTACTGTTCAATGCAGCCCTTGCATTCTGCATCATGCATACCAGCTTGGTCATACGAACCACCTAGCTCCCTGGGGATTGCTGTAGGATTTGCCTCACCAGGGAATGGAAAGCAATCTGGTGCTAACAGGAGAAGCTGGGGTCAACTGTAAATTACAGAGCTTGTTCGTGACCTGCATGTCACAAGCCCCACTAAACATGAAAACCGTAATGATTCCCTTCTATTTCATTTAGAAGGGTGCAGAGCCACCTGTGACCCTCTCTGCGTCACATACCAGGCCACAGCATGGGAACAAGGTCTTGTGGAGAGGGTCCAGAAAGGAAGACAATAGCCTTGTGGGTTTGTGGGAGTACTTCTATCATGACCCTTGCTACAAAGAAAATGCTTCATGATCTTTGAAGCCCCACCGCTTTCTGCCTTATTCAGAACCAGAAGCAGGTGGTACCATATATCCCCTCTCTGCCTGGTGATTTTTGTTCAATATACTCTCTGTTAAGTGGTATCTGCTATCTGGTGGTTGGTGTTACTTGTAGGAAATACGAACCTGCAGCATCACAGCTGGTCTGTGAACATGTGTGTGTACATCCTGAGAGAAAGGTCTTGGCAGGAAAGCATGGAGCAATTCTGTTATTAAATGTTTGTAAAAGCTATTAATGTATGAGCAATGCCAGCCTGACACTTTGCCTTGGAGAGAAGATCTGAAACCAGCAGCAGGAAATAATAACAATATATTTACCAAGCAGTTCTACTGCCTCAGACCAGGAACTTGTTATGTGGAGCTCTGACCAGGGGCATAATAGCAATTTTAGAAGTACAGCTTTAAATGCCTCCCCATGAATCTATCCTCTCCTCAACTCAGAAGCCAATATAGATAAGCAGACACAGCCAATTGCATATAATTAGATGATCAATACCTTGATTACTGTTAATATTTATGGCTTGGCTTGTAGCAGAAACATGGACAAGAGTATTTTTTGCAGTGATTCAGTGGAAGCAAGGGCACTGGGAAGACACTGAGAGCTATTCTGGGACATGGCAGCAGTTTCACTGATGCTGCTCAAGGCCTGGAGAAGACCAGCTCTGCTGCTCGCTCTATTTGCCATCACTTGTGGTGCCTTTCTCTCCAACCTGAGAGGGTGCCCCATGCTCCTGGACTCACCAAAAACCGTTCGGGCAGGTACAGACTCCCTGTTAAGCCAGAAGGAGACCTGGGACAGGATGACAGTCATAATGCAGGGTAGGTAGGTCTGGATCACAAAGTACCCGATCTTCCTCTTGAGGTGGAAATGTGTGGTCATGACGACATACTCCCCTGCGGAGACAGCCAGTTAGAGATGCTGAGCCACTGGTGTTTTCCAGGATGGGGCCAGCTGGCCACCAATCCTTCTCTAAACCATTAAAGATCCATCCTGAACAAACTTGCAAGTTCTTAGGTGAAATGCCAGCGTGTGTGTCCTGCTCCTGGTTGATGTGCCCTGGTATCTTATGGTACTGCAGGCCACCCTAACAGCAGTGCAAAGGAAGGATGGATGCTGCAGCATGCTGTTGGCACTGACTCTGCACATCCTGCATACACAACCAGATGTGTGCCCAAGTGTAGCCTTAGTGACTACTACACAGCATTTATCCTTTCAAAACACTTCTCTGGAGACGTCTTTAATTCACTACAAAATGGTTATGGGACAAAGGCAAATCAATGCCAATAAAGAACATGGCAAGAGGCCTTCCCTGCTTTATCCCTGGCACAAGATGTCTCTCCCAACCCAGTTCCCATCCCTTTTCTGCTCCAGCCCAGGGAGCTACTTTGTGGGTAAGATCCCTTAAGCCTAGAGAGATCCTAACAGTGCTTCAGTAGAATTCCAGAGCAAAGGATTGTGTTTTCTCTGACAATTCTGAAAATATTCCACCTTTCCCAACTGTAACCATCTCAGAAATCAGGGCAAGCTCTGCTATTAAAGGTCTGGGCTGTAAATCAAAGAAGCAGCCATCCTTGTTTTCTTTCAGTGCCCTACTCTTCCACTCACAGCTCTGGATGTTTCGCTGGATTATTGTGCCTTTTTGTTGTGAGCGTGGTTCTGCTAAATCATTACACACAGGAGACTTTAGCAGCTTTCTTGCCACTTCAGGTTATTTGTCTGTACGTTTTACCACAATTTAAGTAGGGAGATCGGCCAGATATTATGAGATTTAGTTCCCTGGACTCCCCACGTTTCCCCAAGGGAGATGCTATGAGTTGTTACAGACAGACACTATTAAAATCACGTGCACCAGAGAGGAAATATCCTCAAATGAAAGAGCCACTGACGCATACATAGGGGAAAATAAAAGAAAATAAAAGAAGAAAGATGAGAGACACACATGAGGTAACAGAGGCTGTCAGTACCTGGATTCAGAGGGGAAAGGAGGAGCAGCAGATGGGAGAGAAAGATGATTAATACTGGTCATTAATCAGAGAAAAAATTAGTTTGGGATAATCTTCCATTAGCTATGATAATATTTGTGTGAGCAGATGTGGTGAAAATCCCACTGAATATTATGTTGCATTCACCTCCCCTGCCCGCAATGCTCTCCGGAGGGACTGGAATGGGATTCAAGACAAATGAACCTGCAGTACCAAGAGCCAGCTGGGCAAGGTGGGCAGGTTTTCCACACAACACAACCTTCTCAGGTGCTTGAAATCCGTTTTCTAGAGGGTATGGGTAATAAGGCTCTTTCTAAAAGCTAAACCCTTTACTGCCTCTTAGTGACTGCTCCAGTTGTCCCCCAGCCCTATTCTCCCAGATGTGGCTTGAGAAATACTTTGGTGCTCACTGCCCACAGGTGCTGCCTCTATAATAATGCCAAATCGTGGCATTCAAAGGCCATGGGTCCTGGTGTGCTCGGCCCATGCGTTGCATTATGGACCCACAAGTACCTGTGCTGGATCGAACCATCTCCGTCCCAACAACGTGGCCCAGCAGGTCATACTGGTTCAGGCGAGATCCACCCTTTGCTACTTCCACTGATTTATCCTTCCCCAGTGTCCAGGTGTAGATCACCTCTGTCTTTGTGTAGGCATCTACGGAGGAGAATGAAGAATGAGGTTTGTGCTTCTGCTGACCTGAAATATACCAAAATTAGCCTGTAGCCAAATTAGTCCTTGCTGTGCATTCCTCAGAGCCACACGGCTGAGCACAGCCAAGCATGGCCAGAAACCAGGGCTGTTCAGCAACTGTTAAATCAAATGAGCAAAGGGGAGCTTGGGTTTTTGGAAGGGAGCTGGAAGAGGGGGCAGAGCACGGTTGCTGAAAGGCACGCTGTCCCCTTGTCATGCTGACTCTGCAAGGGCTGGCTCCAAGCAGAGACAAGGTAGGAAGGCGTCCAGACCAGCAGGCTGCTGGGGCAGCAGGACAGCCACAGCCCTGCCGTGCCAGGGATCCCGCAGCAGCTGGTGAGAAAAACTAAACACAAATGGGGTTGAATTTTAGGTTAAAAAGTTACAAATCTCTACCCTCACTCAGAAGCAACCCCCCTGCAAGCCCCTCAGCTTTGGAGGTGGCGTGCCCTCCCACCAAGGTGCTTTTTCCCCTCCATGACCCTCTGTTTGCCAGCCTCCAGGCAGCGAGGGAGGGCAGGGCTGTCACAAAAGAGACAGCAGGCGAGTGCTGCTGGAACTGCTGCTTAGGGTAGCACTGGGCTTGGGGCCAGGGCATCCTTCCAGGAGCTTGCGAGTTCTCTTCTCTACCCCATCCTACCTGCCCAACTCCCCATATGCAAACACCTCTCTAACTCACACCGTCACCGTCACCTTCGCAAGCTGTTGTGATCAAACCCCTGCTTGTCCTCATAGCTCTCCCAACAGTGTCTGCATGCTCTCGGCTTTGCCAGTCCTGTGGTATCCAGAAATAGAATTTCTCCAGTCTCTACTAGGAGCTCCTTGCCCCCATAATGCCCAAGCTTCCTGTCCATGACCACTCTGCACTGTCTCTTTTTGGCTAGAACAAAGTTCACTAAACCAATGTTTTAATTCATTTTTACCACCTGCTTCTCCTATTAGACATTAAGGAATTCTTTGGCTGGGGTCAGGTCAAGCAATGGAACAGGTCTACTACAGAAATGTCTCATCTGCTTTGTAGAAGATTGTGTCCTGAGACGACCAGATTTCTCTGATCTTTTTAAAACAACTACTGTTATCCCTGCACTGAAGGTTCTGGCAAACCTGTTAAATACCAAGCAGGTGTTGTGCAAAGTGCAGGGAGTGGCTTTGATGATCAGCCAGTGCTTCTCAGCACGCCAGCCCACTGTCTAAGTGCTTCTGATGCAGGCTGGCTCCTCTTATCCGATGTGCAACATTCTGCTTTTCCAACCCCTCCTTCCAGCTCTCAGCATGCTCCTGGAGACCTCCATCCTCCTTCAGGCTTAGCTTTGTACAGCTCTGGCAATGCTCTTCCTCCTTGATGGGCACCACCTTCTGCTCTAGCAGAAGGATTCACCCACCACCACTCTCAGTTTATGAAGGAAACCTGCCCACAGTTTTATTGCCATCATCTCTGAAAACCCAGTTGTCTACATCTCTGGTCAGCTGGGACAGTGTGTCTGGAGGCATGGAGGCATGGCATGGGTGCTCGGAACATACTGAATTCCATGAAGCTGTTTCGGTTCAGCTCAGTGCCTTTCTTGCAGTGCAATCCAGTCCAATCCGAACAAGAACAGCTCTTTGACATTTAGGGGAGCTGGTAACTTCAACAACACCTCCTGCTAGCATGGCCTCAGACAGCTGCTGTACAAATGTCCTATGGCTGGCTTAGAAACAGTTGTTTTTTGCTGCATACATCCATCTTCTAGGGAGCATGTGATAGGTAAGCCATCACCTTCACTGCACTGTGTCCAAGGAATGATGCAGGTGGGCTGCATCTGAAATGCCTGATGCCCTTACTTCTCTTGCAGCTCTCTGCCTTCCCATTGTGGGTGGTTACCATGGTGGCACAGGGACAGAAGGCAACTGATGAGCCATTCAGCTTGTGGGGATCACTGGAAGATGGTCACTGAGGCAAATCTGTCTATCCTTTGAACAGCATGCATCTGGCCCTGGCATTGTCCTTCTACTTGCAAATCTGACTCACTCTAAGCTTCCTACAAATGAGCACTTCCAGCTGCCGATGGATTTTTGGTGCAAACGCTAGTTTAATCCTACTCCAGCACAGGAGAGGTGAGCTCAGATGGTCTGTGGATGAGTACTTCAAAAAGAGCCATGCTAATGTTAATCAGGGGCAGCTCTCTGAGCTGTTTGTGTCAAAACTCCCATCATTCAGAGGCCAAATCAGTAAGAACTCAGAAGAACCCCAAGTCATGTAGCAGAAATATGTACATTAATCTCTTCTGCTCACCAAGAAACATTATAAGCAATTAAATGTGGAGTAATCTGCCTTCCTGCAAGTCTTGTAATAATCCCAGAATTTAGGCCTGAGGTATGAGACTTTATATCCTTCCTCACAAGGTCAATTAACATTAATAATACATTCTTCTCTAAGGCTTGCTATTTTACTGGCCTTAGTGATGTCTTGTGGCAATGAGTTCTACATTTAATTAGGTGCTGCCTAAGAAATAACTTTATTTTAGTACTTCTGAGTAATCCAGTTCCATGGATGCATTTTGTCATAAGGCAGAGGGGCAGATGCACATGATAAAGATGATTTCTTCCAGTGTCAATCAAACCTTTCAACTTGCTTTTAACTCCCAATGGCTACAGGAAGTATCAGCTTAGAAAGGCTGTAATTCCTCTGTTTCCTTAGGGTTCAGAAGGGAGCTTGCTGCTGGGGGCTAATTCTTTGGTCAGACATGGATGAGTCTTCCATCTAACATAGACTGGGAGTGGTGCTTAGTTCATTGGACCTGGAGGAAACTCCAGGCAAAATGGGGCTGGGAAGTTTATTTCTACATTATTGTGAATCAACGGCTTGGAATTTGATTCCCACTAACTTTAGGAACAAAACCAAGAGAAATTTAACTTGCATATGGGAGAGAAAAGGGAACTTGTTTCCAGGCAGGGTATGGGAAGCCCAAGCAGAGGAGCAGCTGCAAGCCTGCAAGGCTGGGAATGCTTTCAACTCACCAGCAGCCTCCAAATCTTCTGCAAACCAGGACCCTTGGGTGTTGGGACTGAGATTCCCAGAGTTTCCAAGCCTTTTACTTGACACCAGCCTGCTTGACAGGCAGAAAAGGAGCCAGGGGTTTGTAAGCTCCTTTGGAGCATGGAGCCAGAGCAACCAGATATTTCAGGCTCTCTCCAGATGGGCAGTTGTGGTGCAGGGGAAGCTGGACAGGACACCTAGCAGCAGACTTTGCTATCTTCCCAAATCTGGCCTCCCAGGATCACCTTGTGATGAAGGGAAAGCATCTCTGAGCTTTCCAATGAATTTTCCAGTCTTGCTGAGGCTGGCAGTGCAGGAGAGGCAGCACTGCCCACCCAAGGCAGAGGCAATGGGAAGCTGGTTTTCCCACTTCCCTAATAAACTTACTGCAAAACCAGAGGTATCCAACCCATCCTGAGAGCCTGAACTGACCACATATTTGCTGCTGCCCATTTCTGACCATGGCAGGAATTGCATGTAGGGAATACCAGAAACAAATTCCTGTCACATTATCATTAGCAATAATTGATAACACTGCCACCTAAATACAGGAAAACATCAGCCATTCAAAAGACTGTTCTTTAGCTCTGTACCCACCTCCTTGCAGAGGTTGATCAGGGTACTTACAGCTCCCAAATTTCAGCGGGCAAGCATGCACGTCCATTGGGAAGTCCTCCAGGTGCATGGGGCACTCTGCATGAATCGTCAGCCTACAAGACAAAACACAAGGTATGATCAGAAACATCAGCCTCCTGTGGAGGCTCCCAGCCGACCCTTCTGCCACGGTGTCTTTGACATGAGTCCATCAAAGGTGACAAAGGCCTCGGTGTGTTCACTCACCTCTGGGTCTCCAGGCAGAATGCCATCACCTTTGGAGGGACCAGCAGGCACACAGATCTGGCAATCTTTCCCAGTGTATAAACCCAACCCTACTGGCTGAGTTCATCTTCATCCCCTCAGTGCAATCAGAGTATCTGCCAAAGCCCAACTCTTCTGCTTGCTCATGCACTGTGCACAAAGAGCTCATTAATGCCTGGGGCCATGGGATGTCTCATGGACCATGCTGGAAAGCAGAGGGAAAGAGCTTCCAGGGAACATGGCCTGCTTTTCCTGGTGGTCTGGAAGTTGCGAGGGCAGGCAGGTTATTCAGTCAGGGAGCCACAGTGCTACTGGGCTTGTGGAACAAAGTCAGACCCATGAAGTCCCTGCAACTTCAGCCAGCCAGAAGTCATCTTCACAAGTAACGCATGAAGGGAGCTGGCTTCTCAGCCAAAGGGGGAAGCAATACAAGCATTCCCCACCCAAGGTGTTCTTCCTTGCCTGAAACCTCTCTGCTTTGCCCCTGTGCATGCCGGAGTGTGCTGGCTCTAATTAGCAGATATTTAAGTGAGCTGTGGAATCAATCACCACTCAGGAGAGCACCCAGATCCCCTTCTGTTCCCCCCACCCCTCTGGCCTTCCTCATCACCTCCTGCTGCTGCTGCAGGACTCCTCAGCACCATATGCTTTGCCTAAAGAAACATCAAAATGTCAAACCAAGGGGAATGTACCTCACTTTCTAGACAATTGCCCCTGCCCCTGCAGCACTGGGGTAAAGAGCCTGTTGCAGAAATTCTCACCTTTACTCCTTACCCTAGGCAAGGGAGCTTTATGGCCAGACAGCCACAAAGGCTTGTTTCATTGCTCAGGTGACGGGTTCAGGTCCAGGCATCTGAGCCCTGAAACGTCATTCTAAAGTCTAAAAGAGCATGTGTGAAATAGCCAAGCTGCCAGCAATCATACGATCCAGCTGTTGTATCCTTTGGCTCATCTGTCCCAGGCGCTAGCAATAACTTCTGTAGAACTCTCTTGAAATCAAACCCCAACTCCTTGTGTTTTCTCTTCACTCTGCTGGCACAATGGCACCAAAAGTGGAACATCCAGGAGAGAAACCATGTTTTTCTCTTTTAAGTCGCAGGAAGTCCTTTGAACTGCTCAACACAATGGCAAGAAGCGTGAATCAGGCTAAGCATACCTCTCCCAGGGCTGACGGTACAACAAACCACTTCAGCTTCGTTCTCATGGTTACCAGGAGCTTAGCGAAGCCTTTGATGTGTCATTAGAGCCCCTGTCGTTACCTGCGTTGTGCTGCAGGATGAGCGAGAATCTCAGTCCAATTTCTGGGACGCAAATGTAATAATCCCTTGGTGTCTGTGTGGTACAGAAACATGACAGCACCCTGCACAGCAGAACCAGCTTTGTTTATGCCGGGGTATTGAGTTTTGTCCTGACTTCTCCTCTAGGAGATTCATTAATAGCCACAGTCAGGCCAGATAGTGTTTATGGTTTAGGCTGTATGAATCTAGGTTAGGTTTAATTGCTGGGGTTTGAGCTTGAAAGCCAAATTGCTTCTAAGATCCTTGTGCTGGATCTGAAAGCACTGAATTCAGTTTGCATCCTCCCCCAGTCCCTGGAGGTTTCAGCCCATGATGGCAGAAATGCAGTGAGATAAAGTGATCTCTGAAGATTTCTCCCTCCTGGGACAGCTTCCTTACAAGAGTCTGCCTGCACAAAAGCAAGTCTGGAAACAGAGCATTTCTGCCTTTGGATCCACTCTGGAACCTGTAAGACAGGGAAAAGCAGCGTGTGCAAATTTCATCTTACCTATTCATATGCTTGCATGTTTAGCGGTTTAGTTTTGGTCTGCTTAAGTTTGTTGTCTAGGATCAGACCTGGTGTGGGATGCAGCCAAATAGTTGCCAGTCTGTTCTACCCAGAGGAGCTAGTGCTGGGATGTCCCAGGTGCTGCTCTTGCAGAAAGGAGAATGACGGCTGTACCTCCATCGTGTGGAAGAACTCTGCAAGCTCCAGCTTACACCTCTCACAAGTTGCCTGGAGTTAAAGACTGAAACAACAACCCAAAGCCTTTGCTGGGAGACACACTGTGAAACTGTGATTTCAAAAAGCAGCCTGGGAAACTCAAAGCCCTGAGCACGCTGCAGTACGTACAGCACTTGTTATCTGGGCTTCAACAGCCCCAGAAGGACTGCATGTGTCCTGGGTGCCTCAGCTTTCCTTCCTGCTCTACCTCTGCCTCACCCAGGGGTTCACACACCGTCCTCCCCAAGTGCCCACGCACTGCCGCTAAGGACTTGTCCTTAGCAACACAGGTTCCCGAGGCAAAGCCTTTGGGTATGCAGCTGAATATGTCAGCCTGATAGTTAAAGAAAACATCCTTCAAGTGCATAACTTGAGCACATATTGTCTTGGAACTGCTCTGACAATAACTACCAATCCTCAACATGCCACTCTGACCATGCCTGTGAAGAGCAGGAGAGCTCTTAAAAGCCTGGATTCAGAGTTGAATCTCATCAGCATAGCATTAGCCTTTCACTATTTCCACATGCTTCAAGGCCAGGAAGAACCAGAACATTATCTATGTGCCCCACACAATTGGAGCCAGAGAGTACATCCAGAGATTGAAGCAGCAGCTGAGTTTTTGTCTATATCTTATGTAAACCCATACACGGTTCCCAGTTTGTTGTATTCAGGTATGACCCCAAATCTTTGATGCCCTGGCTGGGCTTTTGTGAACTACTTGGGTCTTGTTTGAGCTCCACAAACAAGACTGCAATGGCAGGGCTAGATGATAACACCATGTTGCCCATTCCTTCTAAGGCAGCCAGAACAGCAGGGAAGAGGCAGAGGGATCAGTAATCCTGTTCATTCCTCAGCAGTCAGAAGGATGGGAATAGAGCAATGTAATTTTGTGCTGCGGTCACAAAGGCCATCTTGTTACCCAGCTGCCAATGCCCAAGCCAGTTATCAGATGCTTGCGCCGTGATGTTGCACCAAGCCCTGCCGTGACTAAAGGAAATCTCTGGATGCTCAGCTACAGCTGGTGTGTGACTCCTTGAAGCTCAGGTCAGTGATAAAGAGGCTCTCTCAGGGAGCTATAAATATTGTCACACAGGTGTAATTCTGCTGGATGCACACGTCAGAGTTGCTGTTCCACCAGAGCAACTTCATCTATAAATGTAAGCCTTGACTAAGAGAAGTTGGCTTTCACAGCAGGAGAAATAGGAAGAGACATGCCTCTAATTGCACATCAGCAGAACTGATCCCTCAAGGATATTGGCTGGTACAAGGTAAAGGAGAAGGATGTGTCTCAGGAGTCAAACTGCATGGCAGTGTACCAGTCTAGACTGAGCCTGCAGAGCATCACCTGGGCAGCCTAGTCAATGCAGGGGAAATCTGGCGCAGTCCAAACTCACTCCCTAGTCAGCAGAACAGACTGTGCCTCCTTGGGGTTTGCACTTTGCTGGATGTCAGCTCTGGGGGGCTGAGATTGGCTTCATGGTCCTGCTCCACCCTTTGGGAAGGACACGAGATGTCCCTGGGCATGGGGGAGAATGGCAAATGTGCCACTTGGACATGAAACATGAGTCTCCTCTCAGCCCTTTCCTGGGAGGAGTTTTCAAAGCACTTAACAAGCAAGGGTGATTCTGTCATCATCATCATTTAGCAGGGGAATTGAGGTGTGAGTGCCTAAGAGTGGCAGAGCCAGGCAGGACGTGGTCTCTGAGCCTCAGCCTGAGGCACAGTCCTGGATGATGCATTCTGTGCCCTTGCATCTTCCTCTCTGCACCCCATTAAAAGACCCTTTGTGACCCTGGGCAGGCATTTACGTCAGCAGCAGAGAGAAGGGCAAATATCAGATGTACCAGGACAGATATCCCGGATGTGTTGAACTGTAAACACAGAGGAGCCTTGCTTTATCCCAACACACTGTCCTGTGCAGTGAGCAGTGCTTTCCAGATGATCATCTGGCCACCCCTAACCACATCTCCATACGTCAGGCCGGTCCAATACTGCTCGGATCTCCACACACATCTGCACAGCAGCAGCATGTGCTGGGTAAGGAGCAGATCTCCATGCACTAGAGCTCCTGGAACTGCACCATACATGACAAAAGGCCTCATATCCAATCCTCAACCCTTGGGTATCTCTGAGTGGGCTTTTAATTTCTTACAAAGCCTTAGAAGTAGATTTAAGGTGCACCTGCAAAGGGAGCTCAGATTCTCCTTCTCCCCCCCCCCCCCCCCCCCCCCCTTCTCCGTGAGACAGTGAAACTGAAGGATGAGTTGCATTTATCTAAAAAATCCATGACTCCATTTTCTTCAGGAAGCTCATTCCCAAGAGCCTTGTGATGCTGCTGCCATCCTGGCACCTGCCCAGTCCTAAGCGGAGAAGTAAATGCAATTCTTTCTCCGTCACACAAAGCTTGCTGAAGCTAATGGCTGTTTGCTGAATAAAGAAGTGAAATGATGTGAAAGCCCTGAAATTGAGTCCTTTTTTTTTGCTGTTTTATGCCAGTAGCTCCTATAATACTTTACAGTCAGACAAAGATACAAACAGGGGAGTGTTAGTCATCCACATGCAGGTCAGAGAGCCGGGAGCAGAACAGAGTCCTAAGGTCAAGTTGGACTTCTCCCTTCATTTACCCCATCTGCCTCAGTAACGTGAGATCACTGATGTGTGGAGACCTAACCCCCCAGGGCACTGGCAGGATTAGCTCATATTTGAGAACTGCTGCACAAAAGCAGAACACTGTTTATCAATGTAGGCTGTAAAACTTGCTGATGCTATGTAGATTCACAGCCAGCTTAACTATGAAGAGATGAAATTCTGCCTGGTCCTCCAAAAACAGAGGTGAAAGTGCAGCATCTCAGCACACAGAATCCATAGTGAAGCCTGTTATTAGTAGGATCAGCTTGGAGAACGAGGCAGAGAAAATAATTTATGAAAATAAAGCTTTACACCTTCCCAAAAACCAACTCCGTGCCTTTCTTGTGCATCTATAAGCAGCTTACTGTTTCATTTATAAGCACATTTACCTCGGAAGGCGAATTAGTGCATTAACCCCAGGTGGCAAATGGTATTTACATGGGTGAAGACTTTACAAGCATACAGGAGTATCTGAATAGTTGCAGAACAAACACACAATTAACCCAAAGGCATTTCTTTTAATGTTCTCCATCTACTGCAGCTTCGTGGTAGATGTATGTACCAGGGCTGTTCGTGACAAATCTAGAGAAGATGACTGCCCAAGCATGGTTCCCCAAGTGACTCATGTTTTAGAAGGAATGCCCCAGTTGCTGGAGCTCACAGTGGGGCTGCGCAGGCTGTATCACTGCCTGGGGTCTCATGCTGCAAGGCAACCTCATGTTCTGGGTTCCCACTGAATGCTCAGTGATTTTTTCCTAATGATGTGCATTCATGACACAGATTTGGATTTTTGATTCCATGAAATAGCAAACACCCTCCCCCCATTGTTCAAACAAGCAAGCTTGGTCTCATTAGTTGTTTCAAATAGCTCTGGTGTAACATGCTGAACAAATTTAGCTGCTGCAGAATAACAGATTCTCCCATCCTAATGTTCCCTTACCAGTACTGGAAACCTGACTTCATATCTCATCAGAGCTCAGGAACAAAAATAAACTGGGTGGCGCACCAACTTCACAAACTATAAATCCCAGCACTTCTACCTCATCACATGAAAGAGGAAAATCAACATGAACAATGAGGAAAAAGCTACCTGTAAAAATATGCTTAAGATGAGGATCAGTGATGCTACATCGGTAGAAGCAAGGACAGCCAGCAAAGCAGCAGCATGAGAATCAAGTGTGTTAACAGATTCGGTGGAAGTCTGCACAAACCCTGCTGTAATGCAGAAGGGACCCTGAGGATGGGACCCTGAGGTCCCATCCTTGCCTGCATGTGCATATGGACCTAGAAGACCCTGGCCCAGGAGATACAAACTTACCTCATGGTGTACAGGAGGGTGCCGTTGTCCACCAGGCGCAGCAGCTTGTTGGGTGTTGTCATGTTGTGAGCAACAGATTTCTTCCCGTTGTGGAAGAAGGTATCGGGCGTCCAGATCTTACTGGCCAGCAGGTTGTTCAAGGGAAGTATTTTCATGGGACCATCAAACTTCAGCCTTTCATCTCTCCAGGATTGCCGGAAAAAGACATCAATAGTGTATTCCTTTGTGGAGAAAAGAGAGGAAAAAGAAGTCTTGTTTTATTCAGCTCTTTGCTGCAAACAAGCTGCTTCAAGAAATGATACATCTCTTTGGTCACTGAGCTTGTGTTTGGTCATTGACACTGTGTTTTAGAACACTCTGGGTGACATGAAATGTGATGCAATAAGAAGTAGGGATTAGTGGTAGCAAAGAAATCTGTGGAGGAGAGAGGGCCTTTACCACACTTTGTATAATGACTTACATATGATGCCAGCATTTGTGTTTCAGTGTTTCTGACCATGGCAGACAAGCAACAGTACATCCTCCACTGGCCAATACTCAGTCCTGGGGTAGCCCTGATGCATCACTACCTTTATTCAGATGTTTCAGGAGAGAAAGTGCCATGACACTGTCTTCATGTTATTTTGGTCCCCAGACCACCTCTAGAAAAGCAATGAATCAAGGACCTCACAAACTTGCATTACAAGATCCTGTGGTTTTTCTTTTTTCCCTATTCCCCCCCCCCCCCCCCCCGTTTCTTATTTATTTTCTTTTTCCTCTTTCCTTTTCTTCCCCTTTTTCTTTTTTTCAGCTGGTGTAGAAAACCATTTCCCAGGCCAAATTCCAGCTGGGGCAACTGGAAGTCATGTCATTGAAATGTGGCCAAGGCCAGCCCCTTGCTCGGTGCACGCAGCCTCAGCAATCACTTGACCAAGCAGCAAAGGCACTACCAGCTCCACAGCCACCCCAGGGCAAAATGAAACCCATCTGCCCAGTGCCTGGCACAAGGAGCTGCTGCTCCCTGTGAGCCATCCAGTGCCCTTTGAGGTTTCGTGTCACTTGAAGGAAAGTCTTTGCCTGTCAGCACGGGCTGCAGCACTGCTCATCTCTGCGCCATACACCTCCTCTTGCTAATGAAGGAGCTCATTAGCTCATGAGGCTTTCAGGGAGAGACAGGAGTTTCAGCCGATCTGTGTGTCCCAGCTGTTCTTCCCCTGCCGTTGCAGACTCATAGTCTTTATTTACGGGTTCCTGGAGGCTGCAGGACCGACTAAACTTATCATTGTGAGTGATTTCTTTCCTGCAGCTCTTCTCAGCAGCATTTAAAAGCAGCTGCGCATCAGTTTCCTACAGGTCAGAGGAATTCCTACAGGTTTTGCAGCAGATGGCAGCTGAATGAAAGCATCTTGGTGAAGAAATTCATCCCTGCTCCCAGGCCACAGAGCCACTGCTGCTCAAATGTGAAGTTTCTGAAGCCTGGCTGGGGGAAGGAAAGAGAAGATCCTCCATTCCCACAGGCTCTGCCCTAGATAAGGTATTCTGCCCTTCATGGAAGTGATCATCACTTTGTGGTTTTAAGCTCAGTAAAGGAATGAAACCAAAGAAATGAGCTTGTGTGCAGTCCCAGGAAGTAGGTTTGGGAAAGGTCTTTATCAGAAAAGCCAACTTATTCTGAACTCCCTGTTTCAATTAAAGAAACAAAGAAGCAAAACTTGCATGACAACTTCCCAGGGTCTGTTATCCTTCTTTTATGCGAAGGAATTATTTCCTAAGGAATAGGAAATCATGTTCAGATTCTTCTTCTCTTCTCTATACTTCTTTCCATGAGAGCATCATTCCCAAGTTACCTCTTCCAAGAAGCACATTTTGTTCTACTTTATGCTCTTCTCCACCTTATAGAAGTGATCAGAAACATCAAGACCTAGTCTGTCTCCAGAGTCCATGCACAGAAGTATAAAACTCCCTTGAACTTGGTTTCTCCCTTTCAATTTTCTGTGGGCTCAGGCAAAGCTGCAAAAGCTCAGAACCAAAGATTCAGGTATGTGTCAAGTCCTGCCAGGCTCTATTTTTCAAACCAAACTGAAAGAGAGATTAGAAGCCACTTGGAGCATCTCAGGGAGAAGGTCTACACGTCCTCCTCCATGCTTCAAAACCAGCTGCTCTCCTCCGCTCTCCACAGCAGCTTTACCTGCCTCTCCTCCATCATCATAATTACAGTCTCTGTCTGCATCAAGATGTGCAGGAGTGGCTTTCCATCACAGTGAGTAATGGCTGTGGGAGGGACGGGAGCAGGATCACCAGGCAGAGGAGAGCAGGGAAGGAGGAACTTCCCCACTTCCCAGATGAAAGGAACCACTGAAGAAGAGTAGGCTCTCTCCATGCCTCCCGAAGTTTCTCTTTCTCATGTTTCTGAATGTACTTAGCACCAGAATGGCAGGCTAAAACACACTTGCTATCCATTTGTAAAGTACATGGAACTAAAGCACACGAAGGGGAAATAATTTATTATTCTTTAACTGTCTTCCTGATTTCAAATTCATTTTGTCAAATCACATTGCAGAGAATACCTTCCTCTCTTCAATACCTCATATTTCTTCTTCACAGTTCATTATACACACTCCCTTAATCAAATACGCTCCACCTTGGAAGTAATTATCAGATACTCCCCAAGGGCTAAGATTGCTGAATATATTATGGGTCTCTGCTGCGGTAGGAAAGCAAACGACATGGAGAGGGAACTGAGATGAGATTAATGCTCTTGGCTACACTGACATGAACTTCTAACTCTGCGAGGAGTGGTCTTTCCAAAGAAGATCATTCAGTTCATTTTCCTGACCCTGCTGCTCCCTTTCCAAAAGCGTGCTTCCTCCAAGGCCAGGACTGCCCAGAGCTGCCCTGGGCTATGCCAGCACCAGGTCATGTCTGGGACTGGATGTGCAGGAGGCTCTCAGTCCTGAAGGCACAGCCAACTCTGTGCGCCTGGGCACGCAGCGTGTGGAATGTAAGCTGCAAGAAATGCTCTCGAGAAAGCTCACTATTAATTATGCTCCACAGTCCTGTTTTAATTAGGAGACAAACTGTTGTGGGAATACAAGCCTAAATTCAGACCTCAGGCCTTTTCATTAATAATTTTCCCCGAACATGTCAAAATATTGCAATCAGTTCACTCTTTTTCTTTTTTTTCCCTCATTTGCCTCCCTTTTAGTTCAAGCACAAAGGACACTTTGATGGTGAACTGTTCTCTTCTGGCACCACCATCAAAACACCCCAGGTCCTGACATCTCCCCCTCTTCCCAGGTAGCATCCTCCTTCCTCTACACAGGGAGGTGAAGGAAAGCTGGCCACAGTGCAGGTGTTTGTCAAGGCATGTAATGGGTGGTGCATGCTACACACAGATCTTGGTCCTGTGGGCAGACCTCCCCATTTCATTAGGTTGCACTTGCAAGAAAGAAGATGACCCAAAACTGCAACTTGTGCTTGAGTGTTACAAAGGCATTGACCCTCCAAGGTTGGGTTCTGAAAGACCAAAAGCATCGAGAAACAACCCTCATCTACCACCTGCATTTCCAGCCCTCAATAAGATGATGAGGAGCACTTGTGCCTGGGCAGACAGCTGGGATGCTTGCTCGTGTTCTTGTCACTTAGGAAAATCCCACTTTTGCTCAGATTGTCCATGGATGAGGATGGGGCATGTTCACTGATGCTGCAGGAGAAACCATCATCTCCCATGAGGCAACCAGCCAGTGGCACCTACCATATCCGTGTCTGAGACAGGGCCGAAACTCGTCACGTAAATGTCTGTCTTGACTTCGGTTACACTGTCTGGGACAAAAAACAAGAGAAAAGAGGGAAAAAAAGCAATTAGAAAACTGATTTTGCTTGTACAAGGAAAGGGTTTGGTTGTGTTATGTGGTGGGTTTTCCTGCCAGGCGCCTCTCTGGTGAGCCCTCAGCAAGCTGGCATCCTGCTCTCTGCTGTGCCCTGAACAATGGCCAATTTTATCACTCCTAATTGGGCAAATTAATCTCTGATGTAGCTCTGCTCCCTTCCGTGCTTACACTGAGGATGAATATGCCCTGCACAGCCAGACAATGCATATTTACAAATTGTATGTGTCTACATGATACATAACATGGTACAGAGCCACTCATTTTCAATACAGAGGTAAGCCCTGATGCTTTGAAACGCCTTTTAATCTGAAATGCCTTTGTGTCTCCCAGCCTGATAAACAGCCTAGCAATGTACCAGCGGTTTCAGGAAACCCTGGGTTTGTTACAGCTTCAGGCTTATCGGTATGTAAAAGGAATCAATATTCTGATTGCCTTTCACTGCTGTCGTGCTTGCTGCTCTCCTAAAAGCCTTGCTCTGGTGAGCGGCTGCTCTTGCAAAGCTGCTGCTCGCCTGCATCACACTCTCCCCTGCATCCCAGCATGTGCTGCCCTCCTGGATGCTGGACAGCAGCCTCCCTGCCCCAGTCAAACTGCAGAGCCCCAGGTCCTACCCCAAGCACTAAAACCCAGGCGAAACCTTAACCACTGGCCTTCAGGTAAAGATAAACTGAAGTGCTTTGCAGAACAGAGCCACCACCGTGTGTGCTGAACAGCACAAACAGCTCTCGTTCTTGACTTCATTACAATTTTGGCATGTTTCCTAATTGAAATCTCTGCTGCTGTCCCATTTTGCAGGGAAATCAAGGCACAGTGAGTTGCCAGATTCCTACACTCTGCCCACTAGGTTGTACTGAAAAAATGATGGATGAGGTGCGTTGACTTTACCATAAATCCTCACCACTTTAGGGATAGTTCATGCCATTGTGTTCCTTCTGCATTGCATTAGCTGGCTCAGAGCTGCTTTCCCAATGAAAGAGCCAATTTAGAGCCCCAAAGAATTCATGGTTTATGCACATTACCTCATTTTAGCCACTGCAGCAGCTTTGCCAGTAGCCTGGATGGCCCATTGCTCAATTCAGTTAAGGAAATCCTTCTGTCCCCTGACAGTTATTTTGCAGTACTATGAAGCTTAGTTTTGTGCTTCAAAGTTTTGTATCCAAAAATAAGATAACACATTCTGGCAGGGTTTTCTCCTTAATGGCTAAAATATACATATACATGCCTTTAGTTATTATGGCTGGAAAGCTTCTGACGCAGCCTTTGGCTGATATTACTGTGCTATATAAGTAACCCTTGATCTTGTCTTGATGTGATAAAAAGGAGGTTAAAGAGAAATATGTATGCGGTACACTTTCTGAAACACCCAGAAGCCGACAAGACATCATCCTGAACAAAATTAGTTACTTCTGAAAGACTTAAAACACTCAGGGTATTCTCTCCATCTCCAAACAAGTCCCCAAATGAGATACACAGCAGACAAGAACATTTAGTGAAGCGAAGCTCTTTCTGCTAACACATGCAGTGAGAGAAAGCTAATTATGTTTTAGAGAAAACACAAACTCTCTCTCCCTTTCCCTCCTCCCTTCTTGGCATTCATTTTGCCCAAGATAATAATCTACAGCCATGGTTATCAGATGAGGATCAATGCTTGTCCATGGCCAGTGAAGCCAGTCCTTGTGAGGCGCAGAATGAATTGACCAGTGCACCTGAGGGGGCAGAGGGATCCACGACAGGACCCATGCTTCACAGGGCGATCTTGGGATCCAAGGGAAGGGATCCAGGAAATGATGAGGAGTTAAAAAGGCAGAACTAGTTTTGAACACCTTTTGATATCATGCTGCTACTTTACCTGAGCGTTTATGTCCATATCCTGCTGTCACAGAGCTTGAGAGACCCTTTACCATCCCTTCAATCAATTGGCAAATCCAATCAAAGATAGTGACATTAATAAATTAATTTACTAATTACAGCCCAAGTCTGAAGAGGATCCTCATTTCCAGACTGCAGATGTACCCCCTGGGCCAGGCAATGCAAACCCACTGAACTCGGTGGGACCCTTTTGTAGGACCTCTCATGGCAAATGCCAGACTGAACTTTCCCTGTTAATATGTGCTGCTAAGGGCAGGATTGGGTTGGGATCCAGAGGGATTCCTGAAATCCAATCGTTGTTGCACAAGTAGAGGTTTCAGCAGAGCTGGGAAATCCAGAGGTAAGTAAAACACCAGCAGAACAGAGCGAGCTCCAGCCTCAGAGATGTGCTTCCTTTGTGATCCTACAGCCAAAGAGCATCTGCACAGCTTGCAGCTCTGCCCGAGCTCATCAGCTCTGTATTAGTGAGGTGATCTCCTCCAGAGAAATCAGGAGCTCCCCAGCCAGCCTCCCCTCTCCTTACCCTCACACCTACACACGTGGAGACTATACAAGAAGAAACTGCATCTACTGCAACAAGAGCAAGCTAGAGGAGCATCTCCTGCCTCTGCTCACAGACATGGCAGGGAAATGCTCATCCTTCTCCATCCACAGCCACTCTCACTGCAGCTTGGTTGTCTTGCCCAGTTCTCGCTAAAGATTTAATAGTTACAGACTGTACAGTAGAGAATTATGCACTTTCCCTAGACCTGCTGACGAACATTAAATGGCATCTTCTTCTCCTAGCATCACCCTTCTCTGTGACTCAAAGTTTTTTTACATGCACAAGTGAGTTGAGCATTCAAGCCTGCTGGGGTGGAAGGCAGATGCCACCAGTCCTGTTTTATAAGTGGGGAACCAAAAACAGGGGAGACTTGGTTCAGGTGGGAAGCTGGAGTGGAGCAAGGCCCAGAGCCCACCTCTGGCTGCCACCAGGGAATGGTGCATTGTTGAGTCTCACCGTGCCCCAAGTTGCTGCCCCCTGGAGACTGTCACAAAACAAGAGATTTTCAGGTTCAGTGTTTAAATATGGGCAAAATTTAGAGACCTGAAGGGCATGCCATGTTCCCAAGCCATTTGTCTGAGGCTGATTCCCTTTTCCCATTTATAGGCTCAGTTTATCGTCAAGCTTCAGCACAGCTTTCTTTCTAAAACCATCTGGAGCAAGCGTGAGAGCAGGATCAAGGTGCTGCAGGTCAATCAGAGCCGCCACTCTCCCAACACAGCCCAAAGCCCAGTCCCTGCCAGGCAATGCTGCCTTGCTCCTGCCTGCAGAAATCCCCCACAGCTGGGCAGATCTGCAATGCAAATGTACAACAAAAGCTGTAACATCCCTTCCCACAGTGTTACCATGGCACTCCCTACACCTGCCCGCGCTTTAAAAGCTACCCCTCTCCTCCAACAATTCACTATGCCAGATCTAGCTGCTGGAGCAGGTGATAAACATCCTTATTAGCTCTGCGGAGGGCAGATCCTGCCACCAGGATCCCACACCAGCAGCATCAATTGCTTCGCTTGGGCATGCAGAAGGTGTAAAGCAGCAGTTGTTGCTGCTGAGGTGCTTCAGGGTTTCCATTTCATCCTCCCTTCCCTACTCCAAGTCCCCATGTCCCATCTTCCTGGCCCTGGCTCAAGGCAGACATCCCCTCTTCCCGCAATCTCCCTTTTAAGTGCTCGTGACTCCCTGCGCCCGTGAGGAGATAGCTATTATTTACACAATGACGGAGTGCTATTTTTACTTGCTTCTTGGAAGCACTAGGAGCATTAGCAGAGCTGGAATACAAATCACACTGCCTCGCTGCCTCTCCCCTCACCAGCTGCGGATGGTAGGGCTGCCTCTACAAGTGATTATGTGAGGCGGGGGGCACTGGGGGCTGAGGAGGCTCTTATAAAACATCCCGCTGCACTCATCAAGTGCTGTTTATTTAAGAATCTCAGCTGTAATATAATCGACTCGGCCGATTGTGTTTCAGCTCTTGAGGTTTGAGGATGTGCCGAACACAGTCACGTTTCCCAGGCAGGGGTTCCCAGAGGCTATGCCGCAAGCTGGCACAAATAATGTGCCTGCATCCGAGCGCTGGAGGCTCCCAAACAATGTGCACTATTAAAACAGGGGCAAAGCCACTGCGGCTTCATGCAGGGGATTCCTGGCTGCTGCGCTGACGTCAGAGAGGCTGCACAGCCTTATCTTGGAGATGAGCTGGATAAGGGAAGGGATGGGGACCTCCTGGAGTCTGTGCTCCTCGTGGCAGTGCTCCAGCTCTGCCTCAGGGATGTGCAGGGATCTGAGATTGCTCAGAGGCAATGAGCCCATCTGTACTGGTGTTTGTGTGTGTGATGGCATGGCTGAAACCAGAAAGGAGGACAGTGCTGTTCAGGCTCTTCTGCACTCAGGGGTTCAAACCCTCAATCTGCCCCAAGCCAGCTCCTAGAGGTAGATGTTTCCACACTGGGCTCCTGTCATGGTCTAAGCCCAGCAACGTAGCTGGTCTCTCATTCCCCCCTCTTCCTCCCCCACCCTGGCTCCCGGAGGGATGGGGAGAACCAAAAGAATGTAACTCCCACGGGTTGAGATACGAGCAGTCCAGTATCTAAGGTATAACACAAACCACTGCTGCTGCCACCAGTAATAATAATGATAAGGGAAATAACGAGGGAAGAGAATACAACCGCTCACCACCCACCAACTGATATCCAGCCCGACCCGAGCAGTGCTCTCACCCTTCCAGGTAACTGCCCCCAGTTTATATAGTGGGCATGACGTGCTGTGGTATGGAACACCTCTTTGGTCAGTTTGGGTCAGGTGTCCTGTCTCTGCTTCCTCCTGGCTTCCCCTCCTCCCTGGCAGAGCATGAGGCTCACAAAGTCCTTGGTCAGAGTAAACATCACTGAGCAGCAACTAAAACCATCGTTGTTATCAGCGCTGTTCCCAGGCTGAGAGTCAAAAACACAGCACTGCACCAGCTACTAAGGAGAAAAATGACTGCTACTGCTGAACCCAGGACAGCTCCCTATAACCTGCTT